ATATGTTTATAATTAATGTTTTTACGTATATTTTTCCTTATGACGGTCGACGCGTAACATCTTTACCGCGGTGTAATGCAAACGTGTAAGAACTAGGAAATAAAATGGAATACAAGTAGGTAGCATGAACGCTTGGTTGTCGACCGTTTGATTTGTAAGATAATATTAAGAGCGAGGTTGAACGTCCTAGACATTTTCAAGGTCTGCACCAGCTAGTCCAGCTGAGTGGTGACCGTCCACCGGTTCAAGGGCGACGGGTGAATGCCACCGGTCGTGTTTTTTGCCACAATCACTTGCTTACGCGATCGCTCTTTGCGAACCGGATAACTATTGCTAATAAGAACTAATTGATAGTCAGTACAACTTACGAGTAGCATACGCGTGACAACTTTTATGTCAACATATTGCTTGGTTATAGATTTATGGCAACCATTGTGAAGGAAATAGGTTACAGAAATATGTTATCTATCCCTCATTTCTCAGAAGGCTTAACGTGCTCGTGTTTCACTTGTGTAAATAGGTTTTTCAATAATACTTTACTATTTTCTTTGCGAACCAACAAACGGTTCTTGGATTACTTTGATATAACTCGGATGTATTCCAACCAAAACAAATATTATTGTATAGGATAGAGAATAAATATGTATCTTATAAAAGAAGGTAAAAACGTGGCTGTGGTAGAATAAATAAAGAAATAAATGAGAACAGTATTTCATTTAAAAACCTAATAGAATTATTTTTATGTCGTGCGAAAATAAGATACGAGTATTTTACTAAATAAATTGTATAAAATATTTAAAAAAAAAATATTGTTTTATATCAAAAATATTAACGCCAAATCACCATAAGAATTCTCGAGTAGCTTTATTAATATGTATTTCAATACAAACAGACAAAGCAATAGCTTTATATTGTTTTAATATTTCTCAAACATAGACCAAAGTTTAATTATCCTTTGCAACAATATCTTTACTTCAACAGTTGTAAAAACAGAAAAACTTTTTGCAACTCTTTCGAACTATGTATATTTCTTACCCGGATAGTTTCTCTAAACAAAATAAAGAAATTCCGGGTAAGAGATAACAAGTAACACCTGCGGGGATGCGAAATAACTAGCTATAACTAGGTAAAAGCGTAAAACCTTTGTTCTTTTGCGTCCGAGACTCGAGTCGACGAAAAATTATCTTTTTACTTTTTGTCGAGTAGCTCCCGGCCCCGAGCAGGTAGACTGGTGAATACAATAACGTTCATAACACAGGTATGCTGCCTGCTGTGACTTGTGTACGTACAGACACGTATCCTTGTGTGGGCCAATGTAGCCCATTCCCCAACACCACGCTGATATTAAGATTTCTTTGCAGCCTTTCTCTTTATATTTGTTACTCGATACACTTTATGACAGTCTATTTACATTTACCTATAATCAGATAAACAAAACTAAATAAAAATTACATAAGGTTTTAGTAGAGGTCATAAGACAAAGGAACCAGCGCAGGAACGCATTTCTAAGCGTATATCAATTTTTAATGATATCAGATGCCTGTGTTAATTATTATACATATGTTTGTTGTACCTATATTATGATTAACCGGTAATTATTCAATAAACTGTATTTAAGCGCTAAGCGAATATAATTTTGAGGTTAGGCTTATTTATCTCATATACGTTATTATGTTTGATATTTCCCGAGCCGCGGGGAACGAAACCGCGTTCGTTTTATTTCAATACGTATAATGGAATATTATAAATAATGAAAATATGCGCATGACAGCGTGGTTGACCGGGATTCGCAAACACAAATTTATAATTCGACGAGATAATAGAATAAATATTAAATGCACAAGGTTCTTTCTTTTCATTCTTTTAACTCATCTGGAACTGACATAATTCATAAAATTTCCGAATAAATGTTGAAATTATTTAGTAAGGAGGTAAAATTTTTTTCAAGAAATACGAGAATTTTACAATTACTTGATGGTTCCATTTATTAAAAAAACAATTACAATAGTAGTTTAAAATAATATTCAGATTTTTATATTTTATAATATTGTACTAAGACATAAATTTCGTTTTATCAAACGCCATTGCGCACGGACGGTTTGAATACTTACTCATGCATTGGAAACATCCATTTTACTTTATCATTTATAAAACTCAACAAAAAGGAACTGAATAACTTTAAATGGTTTTAAAGTTTGCGATTTCAATGTATCATCTATGTATACATCAATTATTTTATCTTACTAATATTTCTTTAAACCGCCGCAAGTGGTCATGGATCAGTCATATTCACAGGGAGGCTCTGGAGTGGATCCCGCTAGGAATAAGAAGACGTGGCCGTCCTAAACAAACTTGGCGGCGCTCAGTAGCTGCCGACATGAAGGCAATCGGGCTGACCCGAGACAAACGCAGAGTCCAAGATAGAGCGAACTGGCGGCGCACTGTGGACGCCCTCCGTCTCACTATGGAAACATAGGACTTTAAGTCCTGTAAGTCAAGACTAATATTTCCTACAAATATTATAAATGCGAATGTTTAGATAGATTGATAGATGTTTATTTGAAGGTATCCCCAGAACGGCTCAACGGATCTCGCTAAAATTTGACATAGATGCAAAACACAATGTTGTAGAACACAGAGGCTACTCTATTAACTTTTTTTTAAATTTCACATGAACAGAGTCGCGGGCGACAGCTACTATTAAAATAAATGTAGCAAAATATTTTACAATAAAAAATAAAATGAATACATATCAATGGTAAAAATATAACTTTCGACTCATATTTTCTGAATAAAATATTGCACTGAGTATTTTTCTCAATATATTATGACTATATTCTGTAAAGAAAAATATTCAAAGGATAACATATGTTTTGATATTCAAATTTGTTAACCAAAAGCAAGTATCCAAATATTCAGGTATAAAAAAAATACTGTGAATATTTTATAAGCACAATGAATTAATTTTATTCCATTATTTTTTGTTGTACATTTGAATGGAATAATAAAGGTTTTTAAGTAAATATTTAATGCATAATCTATAAAAAAAATTATATATTTGTTTTACTTTGGTATGATTTTAAATTTAATTGCTCAATCATTTTTTTTTCCAATTTATGTGGCAATTTTTCGATATTTTCGAAATGTATTTGTATGCCCCATAAAAACAGTTTGGTTATAATTATAACATTATATATATTCACTGTAAATGTACAGCAAATAAAATAATAAAAGTTAATCATCACATGACTCTAGATTGTAAGTTTTCATAAAATAGCGATTATAAATTAAATTTTGTATGAAGATTGGTTCCTTAATATATGTCACCCATAAACAAATCTTTTCAACAATTTTTTGTATTCCTTTATGATAAATACAGTGCTAAAATTCTTATTTAGGTTATGACATCACCAAAATAAAGCTCAGACCTTTGTTAGTCTAATCATTCAAATCTGTAATAAGTACAATAAGAAATAAACATGTGGCATATATCAAAGTAACAATAAGTTATCAGCAAATGTATAGAAAAAATCTCTAAAGTTACCATCTTAGGCAACATCTGGATACAACCCGTGTGAGACAAGGTTGTCTATTGTGACCTTTTTTTGTACTATGACATTTGCATAAAATGGGTTTGTTGCAGATTAAAAATGAGTTTCAAAATTAGATTGGTAGGCCATGACACATATAACAGAACATATTTCAAAACTAATTGTTTTTGGGACAAGAGACAGTTGGATTGTGTGAAAAGTGACATTAAAAAGGACACTTGAAACACTTGAATTGATAGAAGATAGATTGTTCGGGAGGTAGAAGACTTGCTGTGCTGAACCTATGTAAATGGGATAAAGAGATATGATGAATTGTCTTCATTGGAATTGATGAGTAAAATAGTAGTAAATTTTTGTACTTGGTATTTGATTTGGTGTTTACAGAACACCAACCACTCAAACACTGGTTAATGTAATTTGTTTCATTTTTTAACACTGTCCAGAGGCAAGATATTGCAGTTCTATGTATCAAGACAAACTCTATTTTTTACATTGTTCATCCTAAATAACCAAGAGCTTCAGAGAATGAAATCTTTGTATAAAACATGTAGTCATGTCTGTCATTATCTGCGACAACACAGAGATAATGATATTTTTAAACAAGCATTTGGTCTGTGAAATCCATAGCCAGCATTACAATAAGTCTATATCATAGAAATACCTTAGTGACTGCTTAAGAGTAAGTGAAATAGAATTCCCCTTATTATTATAACTAGCCAATAAGCATTTAATAATGCTCACTTAAGTATATCAAAATATTGGTCCAATCAAAAGGTGATCTGAAAACTTATTATACTAATTAAAAAAAACAACAAAATTCTTAAAAGCGATGTCATATTGATATTCTAACTCATGTTCCCGATGTGCAAAATGAAATACAAAGTATGTGTTTAAGTTAGCACATAAGGTAGAAATGTACTCGTGTTCTTTATGTGCCAAATCAAATATTAGGGAAAATACAATGTTTAGGTGACAATATTTTATACACAAATCGGTCAAAATAACCCAAATTGAAGCATTAATGTCTAGTCTCTAAAAATAACATAAAATTTTGACAATTGCATGTTCATGAGATAAAAGGAGCTAATAAGTACATTTCCAGATTGTAATTAACATTAGCGTTAGTATTTTTTTAAATAATGGATACGATATATATAAATATGTAACATTCACATTGGAAAATAACCTTTTCTATATCCTCTGCTGTGTTTTAGTGTAAACCAGTATAGATATAAAACTATCCATAGTTTATTTACATACCATGAAGTTGTTAGTTCTAAGAAGGTATCTTAAAATAACTAACATTATTTTTAGTTTACATATATATAATAATAGATAATGGAATATGTGGGCATTCAATAAGAATGACAAATCCAAAAGCCAGTCGAATCGATATCCAATTTTTCTAACAAGCCGAAGCGTCAGTAGAAACAATGAAAAGTTTTTTACCTTCTTTTTCGTGACTCCACGATGCCGCTTTAGTTTCCCAGCGCTGAGTACAGTTATTCACAGCACTTATCATCACAATACATTAGAACGGTTTATAATTTTTGTACCATTAAAGTAGGATAATTATATTTACTATATTAAATTAATTTAAACATAAAATATACAAGCAGGATAATACAAGCAAGGGTTTGGGCATGACACAAAACAAACCAATAGAAAAAGAGAAGGACATAAACGCGACGCGCATGCGTACAATTAACGGTTTGTTGATAAAGCAGGTTTGTTCGGATACTCGTATAATGCACAGTGATTTTTTAAATTAAATTGAAATTGTTGAAAAAATACTGAATTCCAATAAGTTAGTAGACTTTAGCGAGATTTTCATTTTTAACACTCAACTCAATAACTTTGTTTTGAAAAATGATGCATACAAATGCATAATATTTGGATTTGCATTGAATTTGTAATTGGATAACCTTAAAATAATTTTGTTAAAAAATAATTTAAGACCCACGTTATAACTTTAAAATAACATTAAATCACATATTAAAACTTATTTCAAACATTAGGAAGATTTGACAAAATTCATAAGTAATGAAATTATATAGTCTGTGAAGTTTGACATAATGTTTGCTGATCAAGTGACTTACAGTGACATCTAGTATTACGAGGGAAGTTTATCATTACCAATACCGTTGGTAGGTGTCGCTCTACAATTGAAACAGGTTAAATTATCTTTGTTATAAGTTGATTTGGTTTCACGATAGAGGACTCTAGATAAGAATGAATTTAAATTAAAATTTAATTGTAAAATTGAAGTAAATAATTGCGTTACAAAATTATGTGTATCGAATAACAATTTATGTGCATATCTTAAAGGTTTGTGAAAGCATTCGCTAAGTGCATAAACGTTTTTATATTATGTGGTAAGTTTTTGAAACAGTGTCATCTATGTAAAATTGTGTGTGTACAAATGTACAGAAAAAATAAGGTATAGTGGGGTGAAACGAAAAAGATTTTCTTTAACCCACAGATAGTCGAATCTCGGTTTCTTTGGTTAAAAATGTAGTTTTAAAATGTGGAAATTGGCCTTAAACTTGACATTTTTTACGATTGTCAACATACCTCACCTAATATACATTTAAGTTACCCACTTATGGAAAAATTGTAGACAATAAGATATTAGACTCTTCGTATATAACATTTTTGTTAAAAGTGTCGTGTCTCCTAAATTTAATTAAGCGTGAAATTGAGAACACCCTAAAGTAAATTACAGATCATAACTCTGCCGTTTGTGACGCTCGTTAAAACTGCTTCTAAACATATGGACTCTTCACGCTTTGAAATGCAAGGACTTCGTTGCACGAATTTTTATTTTTTCCACAATAGAAGGCAAATGAGTTGCAAATTAGTAAAAGACCTTAGCATTGTTAAATTAGTGATATGCGATAAATATATACCTTTAAAAATGTTAATTATTTAATTTTATACTTTGTCTATTCCTGATAGTTGTATAGGTCTTTTGGTAGTAGAGTTAGCAAACTTTAGTTTAACCACTGAAACAAAAATCATATTTCATTTTCACAAACAAAAAATTAAGTGGATAATCCATAGAGATTTAAAATTATTGTAATTTTGTTTTTAAGTTTATTAAAAAAAGGTTCCTTAAGAAAGTCCAAATTATTATTTCATTCGTTCTTTACGTACGTGTTGAAATTGCCTTCATTTCGTGAGCAGCGTCAAAGGGCGGCCAAAAGGGCGCTAGCAGTCGGCAGCCATACTTCCTCGAGTGGTCCTATTAGGTCCAAGTCGTGCCTTTGTTGAGCCGCCGCGACCGTGATGTGTCTTTGAGATAAGAATTGGGTCGACATTTCGTTGAAACATCAAAGTCGTAACGCTCAAACGTGAAGGTAATTTGGGACCTTTGAATTGCTTATAAGCTGCTCCTTAACAATGTATATAATAGAGATGTTATGTACAAGATTTAATAATAATATGCTAGCTATGTGAGCCCCACGTTGTTTAGTAAAAACTAAGTAATAGCTTTCGTAACTTTAAATTCATAAAAATTTTCATATTTATAAGGATATTTTTATTGAGGACGTAGGTATAAGATGTCTTATAATTTTCTATCAATTCATATTCGTGATAATACTTATAAAAACTAATAAAATACCTCAAATAACTTTTTTTTATATTAGCCTAAAGACCTATATATGATATTATGATAGTTTAGCGTGCTACCATATTAAATTTAATTGCACATTCTGTCCTGTTTTCAGACTGTTGCCTGAATGACCTGGATACGGGGAGGCTGCAGCGGGCACGGGACAGGGGGAGGGGAGGGTGCAATCGATGTGTTGCTATGGCGACGGCGACGTCTGCCGAGGAGTCTGCGCTCTACTGTCCCTCTCTGTCTCGCCTTGGTATCATATCACACGCTGCTTGAACGAAAACGCTGGAAGAACCATAGGTAAACCTTTCAATTTTAGACTTTAATAAAGGTTTTGTAAAGTTGATTTTAAAATTAATTTTAGTAGGAAATATTAAAGGACTGAGGAATCGAACGATATAATATAAAGAAGCAACTGTTACTTGACTCGAGAGAGACAAAGAGATGGTAAAATTTAGCAAAATGTGATCTTCTTGCTATGAGTATTGAGCTTAGAACCGCGTGTATATAATATGTTAGGTATACCTGTGCATAGTTAAGCAATTTCGTGAGGACTTAGTGGGTGGCTTAACAAGATATTTGAGGTTTGTTCAGAGTCTGTTAACATCTGGCCCCTTAATTTATAGGAAGGGTGGACCGCTTCCTCGGAGGTGTTGTAATTAATTATTTTCGTTTGCAAATGTTTGTGGTTTATTATGTTGGGATGATGATTGTGTAGGAAATGGAATGTGGAAACAGTAATTATAAATGTTTTAAAGTTTACAATAAGTTAAAAAGATCATTATGTCTAGACCGTTTTGAAAGTAAGTTAATTTCTGTCTGTGTCTGCTACTAACCACGCTTTAGTAAAAGTGAACATCTTAAATTCATATGTTATCGATGCGAAGATAACAACTGGAAAATGACGGATAACCATTGACGTCGGTGTCAAACATCGTAGTTCCATCTATTTCCTTGGGCGGTGCAAAATGCTCTAATATATGTTACCCGTTAAATTAGTTTAATTCAAAAATATAAGACAAATATTTAACTTGCAATTTTCCCTTTAAATTTTCGACATTGAGACGATAAAAAAAGACAAGTGAAGCCCTACGTTTGGTAAAGCCTCAAGGGGTGGAAGTTTGCTCCCACCCGTTTGGGAGGAGTGGGGGGGGGGGGATAGCCGTAAATATGATTATCAGTGGGGGAGGCGACGCGGAGTAATCATATTCTCTGCAATTTACATAAATATTAGCGTGTTCGTGACACACGAGCGGCCGGTCATTAAGGAGCTTCGGTCGCCTTACCACAGGTCGCGGCCGCACTATCATACTTCTAGAATCTTCCGTGTGAGTCATTTGAAAATAAATTTAGTACGAATTCATAACAACCCTCATTGTAATCTAACATCAAATTTTAAAACATGCTACATGTTATTGTGATAATAAATGTCTTGTCTGTTTATGTCACTTCATTTTCGTAGCGTAACACTTCGCTAGCGTAGATTAAAAAAAAGCCTTATCCCTGGCATCACTTATCTTCCCCACAAAGTCTTGTCGCAATCAGTCCTTCTATTCATACATTACCCGGTACATACGATGCCCTGGGAAAGGAAGACATACAGACGCACATATATAAAAAAAATCGTAAAGCAAATACGTCACGTATACGATATGTTAATTATTTATTCCGTTATTGCATGCACATATTACATGTACGTACATAATTATTATATGTATAGATAGATGACTATATATTTTAGCGATTAGAGTTTACAGAATTCTTTTTAATAGTAAAAAGTTCCATTCTCATAGAATTGGATCGTCATCTAGAAAACTAGTAAAACATCACGTTAGCAGTAAATTATTAATAGTTAATTTATTCCATAAATACTTCCAAAATAAGAGTTAGACGAATGATAAATAAAAAGTATCTGCCTCATTCAGACATAATTAAAGTGAATGTGAGATAGTCAATGTCTTAGAAGACATTTTGTCTCTTTATGATTGATTAAGGTGCAACCTCCCCGCACGGGTAGCGTGGGCGCTGGAGCGCCGGTCCCTGTTTACCTTTGCATATTCAAAAAGAATAACCCTAGGGTGTTGTCGATTTTAATATTAGACAAGTGACTTTGTTAGTGGAGTGCGTCGTAATTTGCTTGTTATTTTAATGTTTTGAAATGTGAAATTAATGTAATGATAATAAAAAGGCTACTGCACTCGTTAAGTTGTTCATAAGCTCTTTTGTTTAAAAAATAAATAAGACGCGGGGTCGTTGGTAACATCTATGAAGTAAAAGGAAAAATCCTTCCTTACTGATTATTTTTTTTAGATTAGAGTAGAACAGAACTCGCTCGCTTAATCTTTGAAATCTACGACCACACTGAAGACGGGCGAGAAATAATAGGCAGCAATTTCAGTGGACATGGTTTTTTATTTGAAGACTGCTCGCGTATCTTTACTTTATCTGAGTACGAGAGCTAGAAGCGAGTGGTGTGTGGTGAGACGGGCGGGCGGCGAAGGCAGCGACTGAGGCACAGGCTGTCGCGGTGGGCGCGGCGCGGGCGCGGGCCGGGCGGAGACAGCGCGACCGGCCACTATCGCCTTTCCCGCCTGAAAATCGCTTTCCTCGCGGCCGCGGTCGCGGTGCGGACCACGTGAGCGCAGTGTCCCGCCGGCCGCTCGCGTGACACGCCGCGCTCCTCGCGCCTCCCGCTCGCCCCGTTCGTCCCGCTCGTCCCGCGGGACCCGTATGACCACGGCGCCCGCCCGCCGCGCACTGCCGCCCGAACTCTACACGCGCCTCAAAAACATTCGCATTTGATTTTCAAATTGCTAACTTTAAAATATCTAAGGTGCCATCGATTAGATTATCTTTTTTTTGCCAGCCGTGGACGCGATGCGGTCTAAGGCGGTGGCGAGGCGGCTTCATGCTCAAGGTGAGTTCTCAATATAAGTACAATCGAAATAGATTACTAACATATTCTTTTAAATATATTTTTGTAACAGTCCTCTGTGAATTTTATAATGATACTGACTTTAAGAGTAAAAATTATATATGTTGAAAAAAGCTCTGTGTATTTACGAAAGCGGGCTTTTGGACAGTAGGTACAAAGATACAGGCAAGTTGATGCACCGTGATGCGCTGTCCGCGCGTCGCTATTGGTCGGCGCCTCCCCCGCCTGACAAGATAGCGTGGGACATCCTCCGAGCGCTGGTACACGTAAATGTTCCT